GGCACCTCGCCCCTGCCTCGGCTGGCGGAGTGCCGCCGGGGCGGCGGGGGGCGCGGCGGCGTGACCGAAACGCGGCTCGAGGGCGCGCGAGGGCCCCGGCTGCGGGGTGCGTCCGCGCCCACGGACGGGCCGGCGACGCTTGCGCTGGCACGAAGCCGCCGCCGCCGCCTTTGGAAGCGAGTGATTTCGGTTGGGTTTCTGGAGGCGTCGCGGTCTTCCAGGTGCCTCTCGCCGTCGACGCGTACCGAACGAGGGTCCCAGGGCGACGCGGCGTTGCGTAAGGCCAGCTGAAACCGGCCCGGGGCGCGCGGTCGGCTTCTGGTCTGAACATTAAGTGGATTTATCTGGAAAGTGAAAATAGCTGGGTTTGAGTCTGCTTCTCAGACACAGCGATACTTTAAAACACACCATTATTTTAAGTAGGTGTTGAAGTAAATCAAGCTAGGAGTTAAAACAGCTTCTGGAAACTGCTCCCTCTCGACCTCTGTCTAATTGGCCGCGGCAAAAACCCTCGCTGAAGTATTCTGCCATCTGCTGAGTGTGAGGCCAGTGTTTTATCTCCCACTGGTTTCCGCCTTTGCCTGCAGAACTTTTTTAAAAGACTTTTTCTAAGTAACACCAGAGACCTAAAATTCTGCTGGCGCTTTGAAACCCATTCCTACCGTGGACGAATGTGGCCATCGTTGTTGCAATTCGTTACGCAGGTGGGAATCATCGTCTTGCACGGTGGCAGGGAACTCGGTGAAGCTGTGGCCACGTGCAAAATGCAGGGCTGATGCCCTAATTAAGATTGCTCTTCTACTGAATCCTCCCCTCTGCCTTCTTCCCTCTTTCTGTCTGCTCGTTGTGAATCTTTCTGAAGAAGTGATGTTGCTGGGATAACACACAGGCCATGGTATGGTTCCTGTCAGTATTGAAATGGTGGGGGTGGATGACTTCAACCTACAGAGCTGTCACGCTACAACTTCATTCATTCCAATCCCTTTTAAGAGTCCACGGTTCTTTTAGCTACAGTTAGTTTTAGTTAATGTATTAGCAGCAGTAGAACTAGTCCCACTGTGTATTATTTTAATTCTACTGAAAGCTAAACAAGCAGAAAAACAGCTAGCCAAACACTTCCTTTAAAATAAAAAGCACCAAGAATATGAAAGTGAAGTGATTGCAAAACAAAAATGGAACTAGGGTCAGTGTCCATCAGGTGAATGAAGCAGAGTGGAAGCACTACAAATAAACTGGTATCATTCTTTCTCTTTGAAAATAATTTAAGTTTTCTCCATATCTTATCTTTGTTTTACAAACAGCAGACCAGTTTTCTAGCTTGCTTTCTGCTGTGGTTTAGGTAACATAGAGGCTGACATACTCAAAAATACTGGTGAGCTGGAGAAGCCCTGAAGGGAGGGGGCAGCTCCCTGTTTACGAATGTAGGGGCAGTGGTTGATGAAAAGCAGACTTTACTCCCCTGTGAGCCTCAGCCGCTGGTCCCTGTCTGTTATGCCAAGTTCTGAGGAAGCCTCTGGCCAGCCCTGAAATCACGCGGGTTCAGTCTGCACATGACCACTTTTAGCCCTGTCCCAACTGCTGTTTAGTCAAAGCAGGGAATTTAACATGGTGTTTTTACATTTATAATATCCTTCTTCTAAACACACCGTATCAAAATGTGTATGTAATTAATAAGGTGCTAAGGCATAGTAGCTTTAATGGAATTACATTGCTCAGTATCATTACGTTTCTTAAGCAAGCCTTTTCTTTTTTGTCAGGGAACACCGCATTTAATTTCACATACTCTTAGTGGTGTAGAGCTCTCTGGAGCTTGCTCTGGGCCTGCCAGTGACCTTAATGGATGCAGGGACAAACCTCTTCACAGAATACTGTTCTACAGTTGCACTAGTGCAAAAGCTTGAAAGGGGAGAGAATTTGCAGGTGAGATATATATGAATAGTAGCATTTTACAGTGAAGGCCAAAGATCAGAAACTGCAGAGGAGGATATGCTCCTCCATAAATCTCAGAAAATCTTATTTTAAAATTACTGAAAAGAAGAGGCTCATGGATGAAAGAGGGCACATCTACTTTAATGAAAACAACAGATACTGAACAAAAACACTGCTAGAAAAATGGGTAATATGAAGTCTGACAGAACTGCAAACCAAAATGCTGTTGTCCTTAGCTCAGTTGTCTAGGACAGAAATAACTATGGACATTTTTTCAGGGACCTCTTGCTCTGAGAGGAAGTACATACACACAAGGGAGAATATTCTGCTGCAAATCTTCATAGGAAAACAAGTAATTGACCGTGGCCTACTCCAAAACTGACAATCTGATCAGAAATACGTTTAAGACACACCTCTCCTCTTACAGACCCAAGTTTTTGCATGACACAAAAGAATTGCAGACAATGGATGATGTATTTAAAATATTTATTTAAAACTATAAAATGTATTTCATAATATCTGCCAGTAGCAGACGCAAAAGGGGGCATGAGACTGAGTCCCAGTGTTCAAAACTGTGATTTTTCAAGGTATATTTTAATACAAGATTGTCACATGGTGCTGGAAGCTTTAAGATATCACTGAGAAGTATTGGATTGAAAGACAATGTGATCTGCTGAAGGCAAAAATCCCAAGTTCCTCCTGAGCAAAACCAGATTTTTTAGTTTAGTGCATCTTGAACAAAGATTTTAAAAATATATTAGCAAGATTGGTTGATGAGGAAATAACAAGCTAGAGGATTTTTTGCTATAAGCCTCAGTTGTTTTAGTTTTTGTTATACGCAACGGAAATAGCACTTTCGTGTCCATCTTCATTGCCAGGTAGTTTATTCTGTGCTCTGATTTTCTCAATAAGGTTTCAGATGTCCATAAAGACACAACAGTACTGATGCTGGTGGCAATTCACTGGAGAATTGTTCTTGCAGAGCACAAATAAAAAAAATCATATATTGTGCCAGTGTCATATGTCAATAATCTGGGGTTTGTTTGTGAAATTTACTGTTTTAACTCCTGCCAGCTGCAAAACTGTGTTAATGGGAACATGATCCAGCCTGTTTTTATCAAGGTGCAAAAAATGAACTTCATTGCCTGGAATGGAATGAGAATAACATGTAAAAATAGTTGAATATAATATTTATTTATTCAAAGACATAAATGAATCAAAGAAGCATTCTGATTTCCTACTAGTTCTTGTACAAATGTATACTAGTTCTACAGAATGCATAATATGCTGTATTTTAAACAATAACAAAGATTTTTTTTTTAGTTAAGTTATAGAAGCAAGGAACATCTAACTGGTAAGTCCTCTCCTCATGCATTATTCCTGTACTAAAACCGCAATAAATGCCAAGAGTCAAATGTGAAAGCGGAGTGTAGGTGAACACCACAATGTCAAAAAAAACCCCCTCCAAACTTGGTGGCTGTTGTTCCATCAGCACTCCTATCAATTTCTGCAGGACTACGATCAGCTTTGTGCCACCTCTGTGGGAGGTGAGACTACACAATGACACTTCCACAGTTTCCTTCAGCTGGCAAAATCACACATTTCAACACAAGACTCTCTCACTGGGATCCACAGGGACAGCAGCCGAGAGGGTAGCTTTAAAGCAAACAGCTGAAGGAGAAGACTGTAACTTTCACACAAAACAAAGAAGCTCACCTGGGCCTAAAATCAGAGCTCCTCCCTGCTGAGCGGGGTCTCCTTGAAAATCAAAAGCTGGGCCAGTCATTGCTCTCCACATACTCCTAATACTTCCCAGGAGCATGTTCGATTTCACATGAGGGCTCCGCACTAAACAAAACGGCAAAATACTTGTTATCTAGAAATACAAAAGTATATAAGGAGAACAACAAAATCGAACAGCTGCTATGAATAGATTAGAGTTTCCTGATTGCCGGTGTTCTGAAAAAATACAGCCTACGAGAGATGGTCTGATGGGCACCTCCCTTCCTATTTACATTGTGATCACACTATTTTACCAGAGCGTTCTTGCTTTGTTCTGTGTTAAGTCCAAACAAGACAAGAAAATTATTCTTACCTGATACATTATTACCTTCACCTCTTTTCATGCCAAGCGTTTTATAAATTTCCCTTTGTGGATCTACATACATTTCGTGTGTATACCCAGTTAAACTGCAAAAGGGCTGTAAAACATATGTATACAAAAAAAGTAATATTTTTAAGGTTAAGACAGTAATTAGGATCTACTGACAGTGGAAAAAATACTGACACTCCACC